TCTTGTTATTAATAGAGCCTATTCCATTATATGGAAGCTGTAAGAATAGTATTATTACAGTGGAATTGAACTACAAAATCAGTTCATCTTTGATTTATAGTCTGCGCTGTGCATCTAAAATGGCCTAAAATAAAAATCAAATTATTCGTCCAGACATTTATGCTTAGACAAACCTGAAACTTTATGAGAAAATTATAATATTGTCATCTACTTCCATAGTCACATTTTCAACTATGTTTTTCCTCTGACGCTTTTGTATTAGAAACTGTTCCATATATGTTATTTCAATCAGCTTTATTTGAATAACTGGTAAAGATTTGGTCTTAGAAATAATGGTTGGACAAGTTTTGGCAATGAATATTGTGAAACTCTTTTGGCTAATCACTGTCTACAAGTAATTGAACAAATTAATTTTACATCTGGAAACAATAGGCTCCTATTCATAGTTCTGGTGTTCTTGTCAATAGAATTTGAGATAGATCAATGAAAGACATTTAAAAAAAAATAAAAACCCCACGATTTAAAGTAAGAACAATAAAGAGGTAATGTCTTCTTATTTTGTCAACATACTTGTCAAACATAAGTATTTAATAGTCATGAGTTTGAAATGCTGGATGAGGATTTGTCTATCTGACAGCCCTGAAATCCAGAGTTAAGACATAGTATCACCATCAGCCTTACAAATTATGTTGATGAAGAAAAATTGTATTAGCTGAAAACTTGTGCTGCTAAATATGATATCGCTCTAGTTTTGACAACAATTGTGTTAAGACAGCTTGATTTTCTCTTCTACACTGTGACTCCACACAGTCACTCACACCAAGTGAAATCCAAACCGATAAATCCCTAGATTTGTGTGAACATAACCATGTGCCTATTTTCTTGTTAACTTTGTTCTGATAAACAGTTGTTTAAGAAATGGGCTGCAGTTGTGATTTTTGTTTTTACCATTTAACACTCTTTGCATAGTCCTGAGTGGCAGAACAAAAACAAGGGGCAGTAGCCTTATAATGATTTTTTTTCTTTATAAATGTTGGTCTCCAGAATGAATAGGACCGCGTGCCGCAAGTTTTGATGTCATAAATATTTCCACGGAATGATTCAACACTTTGTAATTATTTTTTTCTCCCTATTTTCTGAGCATCTCACTCTATCTGTGTTAACAGGGTATCTGTCTACATGTAAGGATGTTGTTGCATGTGATTACTTGAAAGGTCATATAACTGAAAATGCAGTTTGAAAGCAAAATGATTGTACCTACACTAACAGGATGGCTGAAGGTGGTGTGAGTTGGTTGTTCCATGTGGGTAACTTTGGCTTTGTGAGCACAAATTTGAACTGGACATTAAACTGCAGCTCTTAGTCAGCTCTCATGAAGCTGTTTTCCAGCTAACTTTTTTTTTTTACCTCCACTTATCAGTAGAAGTCTAATTTATGTTTGCTTGGCCATATTTGTGAATTAAGTCAAGCCTTAAATGTTTTGCTAGCTAATTGTAACAACTGTCAAAGAAATATCTGCATGTAGTTGTGTGGTATTCATGGTGAGCTGCCACTTAGGTTTTTGAAAATGTGCAGAAAACTCTTGATTCTGGATAAAGTGTAGTTAACGGGGGCTTTTTTAACATTCAGGAGCATATAAACCACAAAAAGATGTTTCAAAATTACCACATTAATAAAATATGCAGTTTGTTCTATATGCATATTAGACAGCTTTGTTTGTTTTTGGTCTGTAGTGGAACTTCTCAAATCTCAGCCCATCGCCTTTTTCTTGGTATTGTTTATGCTGGCAAAACAAAGAGTATTGTGCAGAATCGGCACAATCAGCACAACGAATTGGAATCAACAGTGGCAGTGAAAATTACTCCTTCAGGCCCTCATGGCATAAACACAGCCAAACCAGTGGCACGTCGCTGCCAAGCTGAGACACGGCCTGAAAAACAGGGAAGTTCCCAATACGCGGTGAAGCTGTTGATTGTTCTGCTTATTACAAAATCTCTTCCACCCAAACGGACTGATGAGTCTGGATTGGCTGTTTTAGTCAACATTCTGCGGGTCATTTAGAAACCCAAAGAACAGGCGGCACGCGGCAGCGTCAAAGGGACTGTTTGGTGCTAATGGAATAATGGCAGCGCCGTCTGTTGACATAGTAATGTAAAAGATAAGCTGTTTGCTGCTGAACAAATAAACAGCTGTGCTGCAAGAGAGACTGGAGGAGGGCGGCGGAGTAGGAGGTGAAGGAGAGAGGGCGGCTGTCACTGCCAACCTGGAATAACAACAAGCAATCCAGCCACAATAAGCAAGCCTGATTAGACTTCATTAATGACTGAAATGCCCCGAGCTAAAAACTATATTATGAGTGTTGCAGAACACTAATAAGCTATTGTGGAGGGCAAAAATAAAATGTTCCTGTCCCTCTTTCACATTACATGCATAGATACACACACTTGTTGTAAAGTGCAAGTTGCAACAGCAGGCAACAGTATTTTAGTCTGGCATTATGAGTAGCTTCACAATTTGCACATTTTTAAATTCTTAATTGATTAATCCTTAATGCCATTGTGCACACACTATATGTTTGAATTTGGTGATATATGATTGTGTGGGTCAGGGACTTTACGGAGGTTGCAAATTGGAAAGAACTTTATAGCCTCACTACCATCATCACCATTCTTTGCTGGGTGTCTTTGCCTCCCTGTTTTTCTATCTGTCTCTGTCTGAACAGCACATCCATTGTTGGTTGAGTTACTCTGCCTTTTCATAAGGTCAGGCGGGAGCAACAGGTAGCGGAAAGGACAAGATTAATCACTTCTTCTAGGACACATGGAGAGGGGGAATGGACAGAAGGGTGGGGAGTAAAGTGTTGGGCAGAAATGAATCAAAGGGAAGAGCAGGGGGGCATTCAGAGAGTATAGGAAGGGAGAAAGGTGACTGAGAATAGAGAGGTGGGTGGAGACAGGGGGAAGTAATTACCATCATGACTTTCTTTGTTGTACTCTCTGATGCATACACTAAATGGATGCAGAGAGGTGGGGCACTGAAAGAAAGAGGTGGTCAAGTGTAATTACTTAAAGTCAGGTTTGGTTTTCTTTGTTGCTCTTGCAGTTTATTGATGACACACTCTCGATGGCTTTGCATTGAAATTAATTGCCAGCCTTACAAAAGGGAACATGACTCTTGTCTGGCCATTTGTTGTCCTGGTTTTATCCAGAACATTGTTGCTTGTACTGACTTCATTTTTTTTCTTAAAAAATGAATCATTCTGGCTCAGTACAAATCATCCACAGTGAAGAATGTGGTTTTTAGTGTGATCTTGTGGTGCTTAGGTAGCTTACATTCAGTGATGTTGAGTTTCAAATAAGCCAGATGAGGAATGATTCTAGTGACCAGCCTAGTTCTCAGTTTAAAAAATAAACCAAAAAACTTAGTTTCATCTTTAGCTGAGACCTGAAACTGATTGCCCCAAGCTCCTTGCTCAAGCAGTCACACCAACCACAGGTGGTCACAGATGTGAGGAGAACTGAGGGCAGTCCTGCAGATGTTGCTCTGACTAATCCCCATCAAAGTGTTCGAGCTCTTGTGTCATCTTGCCATTTAGGACGTTTTCATCAAAAATCCCTGTCTACAAGTTTGTTGTTGTTGTCCCAATGTGTGTTAATAGTGTGCCGACATGCAAAGCTGCACCAACGGCTTGCATTCAATTTATAACTTCTTTACATGTTGTATGGTGGTTGTTTATCTTTTTATTTTTGGGTTTCTACACTTCAAAGAGCAAGCATGATTTTTTTGTGCTTGTGTAAGTGTTTCCTCCAGTGGGTGTGTGTGTGTGTTTGTGTGTATATGTGAGTCAATGGCCAGCTGCAATGTACTGGCCTTACCTGTGGGTGCATTTGGCTGAAATCCACTTTCTTAAGTCTGTTTTCTATTCTGTGTCACATAAATAAATACCAGCATGGTACGTTCCCTTCCAAACCACTCACTGACATCCTTAGATCTCCACGTAACAGCTGTTGACATATAGTTCCCCCCCCCGTCCTGTGTTTTATGTGTATTTTGTGTGCTGCAGGTCAAGAAGCATGCAGTTACCCCTCTCCCACACATAATTTTGTCCAAACCTGTGTTTGGATTATATGAACTCAGATTCAGACATACTGGCTTAAACATGCAGATTCAATGAAACACACACACACACACACACACACACACACACACACACACACACACACACACACACATAGAGAGACATAACTCAGAGCAAGCTCAAACTTGCCCCAAATTCACAAAGACACAGTTTTTGTCTTTGATAAAATTGATCTTTGTTTATTGTTTTTTTTTCTTGTATTTTTTTTCTATAAGACAAATGATATGCAACTGATTACTTATAAAAATACACCCTGGAGGGGAGAGACACCCAGAGAGGAGGATAATGTCTTTTGTCCCATCACATTTCAACAGTGGCGCTCTAATCTTCTGAGGCCTCATGCATTTAAACTGTGTGATTAGCAGCCGTCTAACAGGCGCTTTTACCTGGCGGGCTGGAGCAGAAATCGGGTACTTGGGTTCAGTTGTCATTTTGTTTGTTTTTTCTGTGCCTCTGAAGGAAGATGCTCTCAGAGATACGCACTTTGATCATAAGCTGAAACAAAACAGCCATAAACTGGCCCACGTACTGTACCTGTATTGTGCAGAAATCCAGACTTAGTGGCGGAAACATTTGACTGCCTTTGATGGATTTCTCATATGACAACCATAACAACTTATTTCACAAATGTTAATTCATGAATTGTGAAACTGTATTTGAGTGGGTTTTTTATGATCGCTTTAACTGGGGATAGTGTGTATTCGGTCGCATTCAGAGAATGATGAAAAACATTCATGTTGCAAGTTTATGATGCAGTTTTGAAAGTGTTGCATATGGAATTTATAATGAAATCAAGAAATACAATGTACAGAATGAAAGCATGTGTGTTTTAATTGTTTCCTTTTTTCCTGTTTCTCTGCAGTGACATATTCGATGCCATGTTCCCTGTCACCCACATTGCAGGGGAAACGGTCATCCAACAAGGTTAGTACAAACAATTTGATTGGAAAATATTTTGTTAAAATATGATTTTGTATGACAGGTTGAGAACATTTGCATATGTGTGTTGCACAAGTATTCTAACTCTGGAACGTTTTAATGTTTGATCATGTTGGGATTTTGTGGGATGAATGAAAACAAAACACTGAATAGTTGTGGACATGTTGAAAGCAGGGTTTGGTAATAAAGAAATATTCCTAAACTTTCAGCATCTCATAGATCATAATTAATGATGTGAAAATGGAAAGATAATGGCACAACTGCAAACCTACCAAAACATGGCCACCCACCCTATTGACTTGATCTATCAAATCTGTTTTTATGAAAGTTGGATAAATAAAAAACACTTCTGAAAGAAAGTCAGAAGACATGCACATATTGAAGGCTACTGCAAATGTTCTGCCTTCTAGTCTCTGATTCCAGACTTAAAGCAGGGTAGGGGATCCGTAATATGGGTTTTCTTCCACAAGCACTCAGCTGGTGGGCGTAAAAGTAAGGAAATAACGTGCATAGAAGTTTACCATTATTTTTGATTCATGTAGCACCTTCCAGACAAAAATCAGTTTCACAAAAAAAAAAAAAACATTTCAACAAATTAAATTAGTCATGATGTAAAAAAAATTAAAAGTTAAAGGGATGTGAAAACTTTTGTGTTTTTGATGTACTTTCCCATATTAGTTCTTTTAAATCACAGAATTCTAGTCGAGAACAATAGGTTTGAAATTTTTATGAAATTAGAATGACGACTGGCGATGAACAATGTACAGAATCTATTTTAGTGCTAGCTCCTTGATATGATAATAGATGGTCTATTATCATAAACTTGAACCACTAAACCACTTAAATGGAAAGGAAGCAATTAAGACACCACTACTTTTACTGATTATCCACAATAGATTTATCTCAAAGTATACATCAGTTGCACTGCCACCATTGACCATGTTTATTTTTTTCTTACCACTCCCTTTTCCCCTCATTGCCCTATTCACACATTCCTCTCAAACATGCACCACTTGCTCCCACTTGCTTTACAGAGAAACCTGCACAGTAATCATCCCTAGCCTTGGAAGAAAAACAGACCAGGAGAACCAGACTGCGTGTTTTTCTGTATTTCCCTCTTTGAAAATCCTATCAAACACAGACATTTAATCACATATTTTTAAAACACCAAAAAACACACATTCTTGACAATCCCCCACTTTAGATAATGTCATGTTTACACCTGCACAAAATCACCTGGTGTTACAGCTGTAGAGTACTCAAAAAAAAAAAAAAAAAAAAACGGAAAAAAAACTAAAGAAATCATAAACAGACACTAAGTGAAGGATAACTGCTGGTGCCTCCCACCTACCTCTTAAAACAGCTTTTGGGAGTATATCAGCCCTAATTTGGTGATAATAAGTCTTACTATGCAGGGCCCCCTGACCCAGACAACCCATTCTTATATACACCAAAAGTGCACTGTATAAAGTGCTGATGTCATAGCTAGTGTTTAGACTACTTTAGTGCTTCAACAAAACCAACCTTACTACTAGCTACTTATACTATATAAACCCTACCCAGGATTTAAAAAATAAAACTATGTATTGCACTATTTTTTCATTTTTAGTAGATTGAGATGCTAGTAAAATTGTTAAATGTAGCCTGTTTATAGATGACAGAAATTAATCAAAATTTCTGTAGTATTATGACTTCTGTATAAATGTCTCAATTAAGACGCACACTAATAAAGCTGTATCCAATAGTGAGCTATAAGTTGCTTGTGTCATTAAAGCGTGCATGTTTTTCAATATTAATAAATGCAAAACGATTGAAACATACTACTACTTAATCAATTATTCTCTTAATATTATTCTTCTAAACCATTAATATTGGTACTTTGGGTATAACAGCAGCCTGGAGATCAAATACATAACACATGTTGTCCTTTGGTTCATTATTAGTATATATAAAAATTAATCTGTTGAAACAAGGCCACATGAGGTATCTCAACTTGTGTGAGGACGTATATCTGTGTGTGTTTGTGAGTGCAGGTTCTGGTTAAATATTTGCCTGCACTCTCAAGTGAAAGACACAAAACAAAGGGCTGGCCACCAAAGTGATAAAAGACAGGAAGAGTACAAGAAAAGACAGACACAGTTAGAGGAAATTGAAAGAGGGATAGATGAGATGAAAGAGAGAGAAAGAAGAAAAATTATGGCAGGGCCAGGTTGCAGCAGGTTTGCCAGAATATGTGTGTGTCCATGGCTCTTTAGGGTCTTTTCAGGGGTAGGCTTTCAGACAGACAACGAACATTTCGTGTGACAAATAGGGCACTATGATTAACAAGCCCTCCAACCCTCCCAGAATTAATTAGCCCTGTGAACTTATGTGAACTTTACTCACATGGTCCTCTCCACACTTTAAGTCTTCAGGTAAACTTAGATCAAAAATACACTCAAAGTTGCATCTTACTTGTGCCAAAAGGCTGCAGTTCAAAATATGTCTCATTTACTCACTTTGCCTACTTTTTCTTCTAAATGTTTTACTGTTTTGTCCAGAGATGCTTTTAGAATACATCAATCACATACCCCATTCCTCTCTTTGAGAGTTTACCTTAAAAGCACAGCTTTTTTTTATGACAGTGATGCAATTCGACCACATTTTATGGATTGAATGTTGCTTTTAAAGTATAAATATAGTTTTCAGTAATATAAAGACCATAATGAATGAAGCAACCACCTGTAGTTAGACACTGTTCTCTTCCAACCCACTGAGGTGTTAAAGCTTTGCATGTTCAGACACTTATGTTTCAAAGTTTCCGCTATTAAACCAAAGTAATGAATACTGTCATTGCTGCAACTTTCTGCTGGCAAGAGCACATTTGCACAAAGTTATTGGCATGGCCTATGAAATACGTATTCTCAATAAGGCAGTAGTACTTTTAGCACTACCCAGAAGCTCGAAGTCATTTTATTTATAAGGACCTGAAGTACTGGAACTGTTCTTTCATTTGTTTTATTTCTTTTTGGGAAATAAACAAATCAGACAGACCTTCAATTTTGCATTGTTATTATTTTAAGAGTTAAGTTATTTGTGTCCTTTGGTATTTTTAAACAATTTTAGTTTAAAATTATAGCTCAATTTGGATACGTACAACAGTAAGATTCAGTTTTACTCCAACAAGTCTGCATTTGAGTCCAGTCCAGACCTACTACTATCTAATATATAATTCAGGATTTATTTGTCAAGAACCTTGTATAGGAAATAACAAAGTAAGCTAGATTGTATGCCTGTTAATTTTTTTTTTTTATTGCTACTAACTAATGATTCCTCTCTCCTTTTCAGGTGATGAAGGAGACAACTTCTATGTGATTGACCAAGGTGAAGTGGATGTAAGTGTCTGGCACACACAAACACACAACCTCAAGCAAAAAGCTGCTGTCCGAACAGCAGGAACATGTGGATGAGATGGTGATAAAATGTCACAAACATCTCTGATAATGTCTAGATGTCTTTGAAATGTTGAGGCAAAATTTTTACAGGTTGTTTATCCCACCCAATTTAGCAGTGGGATAAACACTGTTAAATGTAACATATGTTTTACACACTAATTAGATACACTAATTAGAATTTTTTTATCTCTTTGCAAAACTCTGTTTTTTTGTTTTTTAGCTTTAATACCGTGAGGTTAAGGTTGTAAGAGACTAGTCACTTTTAGATAAGTTCGTAGTAATTTTTAAATTATTAAAACAAGTTTAGCTCTGATATTAGCGATTTGCACAACTACCATTGCAAAAACAGCAGTGTCATGTGTATTCTTAGAGAATGCAGATCTTCACATTGTGTCAAAAACTTCCAACATGTGACATGTTCAGTGACAAACAGAGCTTAAAAATTGAAAAAGTTAAATCGGACCTTTTGGTGTGATACATTTAGCCTTCCTGTTATCTGTTGAAAGGGATGCTCTCTTCCAACCATCGTTGAAAATACAGTTTTCTTCGAAACACCTTTTTGTATCTCTGTGCGTCCTCTCACTTAGTCAATTCTTCTGATATTAAAAGAAAAACAGACAAAAAATATATTCTAAGGTATTCCAGTTGGAATTTTACCAGTCAATTTCCATTCCCCTCTTTTTAAAGATAGTTCGTAAAACAAGACTGTGACCCGGTTTAAGAAACCTTACTTCTCCAGTCATGTCACGACAAAATTGCACCCCTGCAGATGAGCTGGTTTGTTGAGCTGCCCTCATGTTTTGTCCTCTTCAAAGTCTGGTTCTGGTCTGATGACAATCTGAACATGGCGCTTCAGAGGTGAGCGCCCCGTGACGGTTCCCAAATTGAGAAGATCTATTGTCTTTGCGAGCCTGACACCAACCGATAAACTTAAGTGGAGAGATAAAACAGGAGCTGATGGAACGTTAAACAGGAAGTGACCTTATCAGTTTACAGCAAAAAAAGCTGGATAAGAGAAGAGAGGCAGGTTGGTGAGGTTTTTTAAAGGTTTCCAACATCAGGAATCCATCCTAAATTGAAAGTAGGAAGCAAAGCCCTGAGATGGTGCCTTGATACAACAACCACAATTTAAATGGCTTCTAATCTTGCTGTTTTGACTGGCATTGTTTCACATTGACTTATTGATGTGATTAGATAAGTAATCTAAACTATACTGAGATTCATGTGAAAGAGAAGTGAGCCATAATTTTGCCCAAAACATTGAGTTTTTGTGTTTATTCATAAAGTGTATTTAGATAGAAGATAAGGACTTAAGTAGAAATTTGATTATTACTCCTGTAAGATATCATGCTCAACAGGAACTGTTTCAACACTGTCTCTGGTTTCTGTCAGGCAGACAAGGACATGGTGAAGCCAAAATAAACCCATTGAGATATTGTTCTGTGTAAAAGTCGTAGTCCAATTTAAAAGTAGCCTGGAGAAAGGGGTTTTTAAAAAAAAAGTTTTACATACATTTAACCACGAAAGTCCTATTGAAATTAAAAATGCCTTACAAATGATTATTAAAAACATTCACAATTTAAGGAATCATCTCTAGTGCTCTCAGTCTGGACTTAAAAGTGCTCAGTGAATCATGTTCACTTAATTTCCAGTCTGTTTGCAACATGTTCCATGTAGCTGGAGCTGATTTGTCCACCCAGAGAACATATCTCACTGCTCCTCAGGCCAGTGGTGTTGTGTTATTCACCAGTCGGAGGCTTTGCTTTGCACCTGATGATATAAGGTTAGGAAACAGCTGCCTGGCCTTGGAAGCCACTCCATGAAGCACTCTAAAGACTGATCCTGAGCTAATCAAAAGCCATGTTTGGAACTATATAACCATTGCTCCCATTGGAGATGCTTTTAACATTGTTTTTAATTTGGAATATTTATAAAGAAAATATTCTATTGCGGTTTCACGGTTCACTGTAGGTGACATGTACTTCCACAAATGATTGTACAAGCAGTCTGGATACCAATTAGCTGGATTCTATACCTCTTGTCGTGGAAGTGATTGGAACACCTTGATCATTTGGATGTGTGAGCCGATACATTTCACATTATAGTCTATAAAGAAATGTAAGCGTGATTTAAAACATTGTAAAATTTTCACCACAAATGTGAATTATATAGTCAGAATTCCTCCATGCTAAGCTTTTAGATTTCTTTCTGTATTTTTGACTTTCGTCTTTTGCATTTAATTTTTACATATCCCAAACTTAAATTGTCATATTTCCACTTGTTCCTAAAGTTTTCCATGAAGTTGTTTCGACTCAACAGCTGCAGCGTCCCCACAGCTGCAGCTTTGCTCTGCCTTGATTGCTCCTCCTTCAATGTGTTAAACCAGATGTGTCCTGCTCACCACTGAATCTGCTCCCACAGACTCTTTTTTGCCTGCATCCAAGCTGTGGGAAGACTATCCTCAAGCTCACCTCCCTTCTTTGCCAAACCTCGCCCTCTTCTACATCTACTTCACCTCATATTCCTCTCTTCCATCCCTTACAGACAGCGGCTGCCTCCCAGCCACAACCCTGGCACTAAACTACGTCAAGAACAGTGCGAGAGAGTGAAGATGTCTCTCATTAGACTGGGGTGTAAATTAGCCAGCGACTCATAAACTGCCTGAAAGTTGCTACTAATGTAATCCCCCTTATGTTTACACACAAATCTATTTACTTTTAGGCACCGTCTCTTATCCAAGAGAAACCAGCATATAAGAAATTTGTAAAATAGCAGGCTTGATACTTTCAACCTAAACTAATTTTATTTTTTTTTTGCAAACAAAGTAACTCTAAGAACAAATTCATGCTTTCTCCTCATAAATTTTGAGTTTGTTTCTTATGTTCAACCAGCCACACAACTCTCTGGTCATATTTAGTCTGTAAAAGTTGCAAAACATGCTTTATTTCAAACTTTCTTTATGGAGCTGCACTTACTGTTACCAAAACCTCAAATTTACTCGATTACTCCAGGGATCTGAATAAAAGTTTGCTAGTACAACAGTTAAGTCAAAATAATTGCCACCTGGGAACAGGAATGGAAACTGTCGTAAAAACACCACCACCGTTCTGCTCTGATGTAACGCTTTTGCAACGTTCGGATAATTGTTCTTCGAAGCTTGACGTAACCACAGTCAGTACTCTGCATCCCTTTGAACAGAATCCAGCATATGGTGACGGATGGGTCCCCTGTGGTTTCCCTTAGAGTCTGAATAATGTCTTCTAACTATTTTCGCAATTCATAGCAAAGAGCAAAGGAATAAACCCTCCTTCTGTTTCCCTCCCTCCTGCCTCCCTGTGTTATTAAGTCAACAAGATAGTGGATAGCGTGTTGACAGTTGAAACTGTAACAGCCCCAGAGATGGCCTCACTGAGGTTGTATTGTCTTTAAAGCTCTACCAGCTGGCCTAAATAGAGGTCTGGACGTAAGCGAGGGAGTGTGGATGAGTTTGACTTGAGCATAGACCTGTTTTACACATCTGTCTAACTCGGTCTCTTTCAGATGACTGGAGAGAAAAGTGAAGAAATAGATGGGATGGATTCCCTTAGAGGATCTCATTTGAAGGGTTAGAGTAGAATAAAAGAGTCGATAGCTTTGTGTGCAAAAGGTTAGAGTGCAACTGGTTTTGATTTGTCAGTACTCTTTGAAGCTGACAATCTCATGGCCTGTCCATCCTTCCTTTCTCTTTTTATCTCTGCAGGTTTATGTGAATGGTGAGCTGGTGACCAATATCGGAGAGGGAGGAAGCTTTGGCGAGCTGGCCCTGATCTATGGGACTCCAAGAGCTGCCACTGTCAAGGCCAAAACAGATCTTAAACTGTGGGGCATTGACAGGGACAGCTACCGCCGCATCCTCATGGTAAGTAACATACTGAGTGCTGAGCAGTTTGGATGAAGCCACTGTTGCTGTTATAATTACTTTGAATTGGCCAAATCTCCAACATCAAAAAACAATATCGTTACACACCAGAGCACATTTTAGCACAATAAAATACAATAAATTAAATTTGTTCTAACTAATTGAATATCAAACTCTCATTAAATTGCGAATAGAATCCCCTGCAAATGTACTGTGAACTATTTCAGATTAAACTATTTCAGATTTTGTCACATTAGAACTTCAATGAACTTTTAATGAATTTATTCAACAGATCAACACAAGTTTTGTCTTATTGTTAAGTGGACAGAAAATGACACAACTTCAGGAAAATACAAAAATGTTGCATACATTTGTCTCTTTATCTCTTTGCTTTCATGCTCCTAAATAAAATCCATGCAACCAGCATGGATGTGTATATTAATCTCAGTGTAAATACACATCACTGGAACACACCATTCCTGTGGTTACACATGGCAATGTCATGCTGTGCAAAGGTTTTAGTTTAACAGGGACATAGTAGGTGAGACAATAGGTGGAGCTAAAACCAGGACAGTCCTGGAAGAAAACCTACTAGAGTTTGCAAAATGATTGAGACTAGTGAATTTGTATAGTTTTCCTTTTTTATTAAATCATTCTTGTATGCATTCTGCATACAATGTGTTACTTTCCAGCATAAAATTGCAATACGTTTTTCTAAGCTTCTAGTTATAATGGGACAAAATTTGGAAAAGTTTAAGAGATATGAAACACTTCCACATATTAAAAACAAAATTGACTGAGAAACATTTTGAACTTTTATCATTTGTAGTTTAAAATTGACCAAAATTTGACATTTTAATGAAGATAAAAGTTGCACTAAACCATAAAAATGCAGAGAAACATCAGTCATACTGTAATTTAATACTGAAGTCCTGCAAGTATGATATATGTGGGCACATTTAAGATCTTCTGCAGTAGGTCCTCAACACTAATCTTTCATGCTCATTTGCTTCCAATATTTCCTCCTACTTAGCCACTTAAAACTCCTTAAACACTTGCAGCACCTGCTTTCATTTACATGGACATTCTGACACATGTATGCACACACAGGAGTCCATCCTCCCATTTTAATATCTCCCTAGGTCTTCTTTCTTCTTTCTTAGATGAAGAAAGCGAAAAAAGTAAAAGCAGTGTGTGAGGGGGGGTTGAGGAGGAGAGAAAGGGTCAGCCCTGTACATGCACTTCCCACTCCAGGAGCTTATCTAGTAGGAATGTCTAAATGTTTAAAGTGGAAACATTAGGTGCTCTGCCCTGGCTGTCAGACTCAGACATATTTTTGTTCTGTAAGAATGACTAATTATTGCACATGTCTGAGTATGTCTCTGTAAGACCTCCTTGTCCAGCTAAACATTACTTCAGACGTTCCTAACATTTTATTTCAAATAAATTAGTCAGACACCAATTAACCTTCCTAATTCCTGTGTGTATCTAAACTTTGCCATCGGCAGCAGTGAAAATTCTGTTTTATGTCAAACAGAGCTCATGGAGATGGAAGAAGGTTTTTTTTTTCTCTTTGAGAAGTGGAATTTAAGCTCATTGTAAAGTTGGCAACAATCTGCCAAGCACTCATGTCACCTCTTAAGCGCATAGTTAAAGTGACGGCTCAATCTGCCCGGGTAACCTTTCTTTGAGAGGATTCTCGCTCTCCGCTGCTCTCATTCCTTCGTTCTTTCCAGCAGCAGCAGCAGCAGATAGAAGGGGGGGTGGCGGGACTCAAAACAGAATTCAATTACACAAACCTGTAGTTAATTATTGCTGTCAGTGATTTGTAAAGCTTTTTTTTTTTTTACAAAGTGTGGTATTCTGGCAGCTTCTTTGGCTAACACAATGCACATTCTCTCTTTGTGTAAGAATATGTGTGTTTCCCAGCGAAAAAAATTATGCTGAATTTCTGGGTCTGCAGCTAGTTAGCGCTGAGGTTGAAATGTGCATTGGCACTGCTGTTTGTTTGACTTTTTCACATCTGCTCCCCCGTCCTCTTTGTCTTCATAATTTACAAATTATAAGATAAAGTAATATTTAACCACTTTAGCACTTGTCACTGATCCATTTGATTTCAAGACAAACTCATTTGTAGAATTGCACAGACTTGTGCTGATGTTTCTTTGGAGTTATTTAGCTGGACAAGCCAGTGGACTGATGGGGAGCATGCAGTCTCCTAAACACCCCGAATATGATTAGGAAAGAAATTAAAATGGATGGATGTATGCGGCTGAGTAAAACTAGATTAGGACTCACAACTAGGACAAAAACACAATCTGTTCATTAAGACACAGTGAGAACTCATCAGAACACAAGGGCCCCCAGTGGTATTAGGATATACCTTACTTTAATCCAATCCCTCTGGTCCCTTTTTTATCAGTAAAAAAAAATACTTATATATTTGTCACAGAATTATTTCATTAGCATTCTCATTCCTACTCTGGCAATTCAAAAACATGCAAACTTATGTGGTTACATTAAAGAACACAACATTGTCTTTGCACACGTCTGGTTGTGAAGCAAAGTAAATTTTATTTCTAGCTGACGAAAGCATCCACCTTTTTTAAGAGATGTTGAAATATTCTGTAACATGACTGCCAAACTCTCGAGATGCCATGTATATTACATATACGTGCCAGTGCTATAAAATTTCAATAAATGCTACACAAATAGGAGACCATTGACAAGATAAATTGACTGAAGTTACATTGTGTTCTTTTCACACTAGAGCTACATTCACCAGCATTGATTGATAGGCAACTTGGGGTTAAGCGTCTGGCCAATAGAGCTTCAACAGATGGTGGAGGAAACTCGACTTTCCGACTTCGAGACATCTGCTTTTTCCTCTCAGTTAGAGCCTTCCCATTAATGTTCTTCTCCTGTTGTGCTATGCAGGCATTTGTGTGTGTACTAATGAAGATTTACTCACCTCAGCATCCCAGATGCTTGAAGTGACTAGCGTAGCTATGGACTTGGATCTACTTTCTGATTGATTTAGTCAATAATTATTTGATTACTTACAACCAGTCATGGGCAATCTGGGCAATTGCCCAGGGCAACATCAGAAATGGAGCCCACCCAAGAACTAGAAAATAAGACATATCTTATCTGTCAGTTGTTCCCTGAACAAGTTTGCTACCATGAATGCATTTGTAGGGTAGTAGATTTACCTCAGTTGCCAATTTCTGCTACAAAATGATAATTGATTTTAATTGGAGTGCGGCAGGAACTCACAAAGTTATACATTGTAGTTAATAATGGTTAATCACAGCATCAGAATCTAATTAACCTCATTAATTTTTTTTTAATTGATTGACAGTACTACAGAAAAGTGAATATAACATAACATGAGCTCCTAAAATATTTTCTGTAGATATGGCTTATTTCCCTTAGTGAAGTAATTGGTGCCTGGAGGTCAGAGATGTTTCAATTATGCTTTTGTGCAAAACAACACACATCCTTGATTATGTAATAAGCGAAAAATTTTACACAAAGTAGTACACAGAACTAGCCTCTACAAATGATTTTATGTTTTCATTGATTACAGGGTTTTGTTTAAAGTGAAGAAAGCTTGTGCTAACAAGCTGATCTGTTTTCTATTATTATGGTCTTCCCTGAGGAGGGAAACACTGTCTGGGAATTCAACAGCAAACAGATGAGTACCCTGAATCAAACAACATAAGCAAGCTGAAGTAAATAAACATCAAATCACAGCTACGACAAAGTTCATTACAGATGAAGCATCTTTAATGGAGTGCATGTTTGCAGTATGCTTCAAAATAAAATGCTGAAATGTTGAAAGTATTAACTGATACAAATGCAATGTACTGGTCAAAGAGAGTACAAGTACTGTAGTACAAGTACTATAAGACTATACTACTGTCAGTTCAGATATTATTTATTTACAGACATGTATAACATTGTTATTTGATGTTGGTCAAGTTATCTATTTTCAAGAAAAATATCTCTAAATTGTGATTGTTTAGTGCTGTAATTCTTTTACATTCATCCTAAACTAAGACATTTAAAATCAGACCTTATCCCTTTTAATCAGTCTTGTCAGAAAAAAAGACATCTTTGAACTGCTGAATTATCTGACCTAATGGGAGAATTCATAACAAAAACAAGACAGGTCCCACAACGAAACCCTGAGGAACTCCGCATCGCAGCTCTGTAGATTTACAAATGATAGTGTAGCTGTGTAAGATTAAAGGTGATTGTTACTTTTAAAAAAATTATAAAAAATTTTCAAAGAGGTAGTAATTTAGTAAAATATTTTATGATTTGTACAGAGACTGGAGGATGAGGGAAAGCTACAGATTTTTAAGGTTTAAAGTTGAAAACCACAGTTTATTCCTGGAAGAGTAAAGAGTAAATCACATTATTAAACTTATTATAAATAATTTTAACCAATGAGCATTTTAACGACACAGTATATGTGTAACATTTCATTTGATGTTGTAAAGCAAAGCCAAGGCGCCCCTTCAAACTCCACCACACCCATATATCCCACCACTTTCCTTATTCAAAAGTTGAGCAAACAATGTAATACCAGTACTTGTAGTAAACACACTCTCCCCATTGTGTTGCCATCAGTCATACAATACCAGCGTTGTTGTGTCATCTTGGTATTTAAACAGACACAGTTACATCCAAAGCTATTATCAAACTGACAGACCACTGTCAACAAACAGAACACAAGACGAAAGGAAACAAGGGGAAATTATAGCAAGAAAAAGGAACGATGAAGGGTGAGGGAGCGGTTATGTTTCACATTGGACGGAGATGAAGGCGATAGCGATGGGGCTTAAGATACAGTTGGTTTAGTCTGGCTGGGCTCCACACCTCAAGCCTTTGATGATTCCATCTCAAAGACGGCAAATAGACAAAAATGCTGGTTCATCTTTAACCACATAAATGGTGAAGGCAGTAGGTCAAAGAGAAGTAGGACATTTTTACACATGGTCGTGTGCTGAAGCCCTCCCAGGGAGACAGGATGGATTAGGGGAGATGCCAATAACGACGGCTGCTAGAAAGTATGACATTCAGTAGTGTCATATTTTTATTTGGTAACTTTTGGAAATGCAAATCCTTCACATTACTTGGGCCCACCATGGTGTTCCTGCAGCACTCACATAAATCAGACATGCTGTATACATTTTATGTTTGCATGGCAATCATTTGGAATCCTTAAGCTTCGCAGAAAGGCTGTAAAAGTTGGAGCACAGTGTGCATGTGAAAGTTCAACAGTAGAGCCTCAAAATGTTGTCCCTGCTCAGATAGCAGTGAAACATAAGTGGCCGAACTAAAAACAGACTTGCCTGCACACACTCAAATCATTTATCCAGGAGGGAGGCAGAGCAGCCTAGAATTCCTTTAATCAAGTTGTTTACGATCCTCAGTTTGACGTTGACTCACTTGGGAAGAGTTTCTCCCCTTTTAAGACAAAATGTGAAATTATATAAAATTAGAGGCAGCAGTGGGACTCAAGCACTTGTGCTGAAAACACCCCAAGCCTCAATACATATATCCCTACCGCATGCAAACAGCAGAAACGGGTCGGACAAGATCGCCTGTCCTCACCGGATTTTTTTTTTTTCTTTCTTTATTCTCCCACTCTCCCTGAGTGGCTCTGTGCAGTGAAGAAGAAACACAATTAGAGAAGGGGTCCTCTGGGTCTGGACTTGTCAGGAAGCACCTGATTTTCATGGCAAAACCAGGGAGGGGAAAGTCCCCTGCCTGGTGGGTGGGGCGGGCCACACAGACAGACACACACGCAATAAAACTTTACTCCATATCTCATACAAACCTCCCTAAGCATGACCCCGTGAACTGTGACACGTTAATCTTAAAAAACCTTGTATTGTAGTTTACTTTTATGGACACTGGACTTTTCTTGTTGTGTGATTGATAGCCAGTGCAAAAATGTTCATGCAGGAACCAGAAAAGTAACAACCATTCAAATATTTCTAGATATTAAAAACTTAATTCCCGTTTTGCTGACACTTGCTTTTGCTAATCCTTCAGTGATGAAAGTGAGAGAAAACTAAAAGCCATTGCAAAATGAATCAGAATGTGCTTTTTGAATCTGAGCCACTCCAAGAATGACTTCAGTATTTAGCAGCACAATGAAACTGCTGTGCTACCAGTTGATTTAGGACTGTATCGATCAGATAATGTTTTTTTCTGTTTGTCTCACAGGGAAGTACTCTGAGAAAGAGAAAGATGTATGAAGAGTTCCTCAGCAAGGTCTCCATCCTTGGTAAGTGCATTTGTTAGCTCAATACAGTGCCTTTTACAAGTATTCATAAGCCTTCAAGATTTTCTAATGGGTCATGGGCAATTTGTGAAATTGTGGGAAATATACATTCCTTTCAATTTATTTTCTAAATAAAATTCTGAAAATGTGGGCTACATTTCTTTTTAATGCTACAAATTAAAATCCAGCACAACCAATAACCCTCAGCACTCATCAAATTTGAGTCTTATATGTGTCGAATACATTTTAACTGGTATAAAAAAAGTTAACACATTGCTTCAGTTTTGGCACCACACCACTGACTCCCTTTCTTTAAGATTTAATTTTAAAATTATTTGTTTTTAAATTCCTCATTGTATACTGTGATCCTACACATTCTCTCAAAAAGAAAACTTAAAGGTGTTCCTACTATTTCAACCAGAGTCGGCTGCGCATCAGGCAGCCTGACTCACTCAATGTTTTATTCTCAAAATACTGGAAAGCTATAAATGATACGTATTCACCTCTTACTGCTTTATCACAAAATTCCATGAAATACATTGAGGTTTGCGGTTTTAATGAAGAAATTTACACTAAGACAAGTCGTTTATTGTTTCTTCTATAATAAAGAATTGGTACTTTTGCACAAGTATTAATAACCTGTGGTCTAAGTTGATTTAAAAGGCCCAACATCCAGAGTTGAGGCAGTTAAATGAACATATAGACTAGCCTGCATAAACACAGTCATACGCTGTCACACGGGGCCTATAGCTGAGTAAGGTCTGTGTTTACAGTCTTAATCTACTCACAGTGTTCACCCTTAAGCCTGCCACACTCTGTAATGTCTCTGTGTGGACAATTAAAGTATAGGGGGTTAGGATAAGCCTCTCTTTCCTGCTGGAATTTGGATAACACCGAGCATACACAGGCCACTGGATTTAAAGGGAAGGTGAATGAGATTCATTCTGACTTTCGAATTGAGTTGCAATTGGAAGTGACGTCTCATCTCCATCGGCTTGATCGTGCGTGTGTGGTGTATAGGGTAAGGCCGTGCCCCCTGTACAGAGTTATTAGCTGGGTGAGTAAACACATACACTCAATTCAGGACTCAGGAGATTGTCTCTCTGAAGTCGGCTCTTTTTATTTTCATTCTCCCTTTTTGACAGCTTTGTTGAGGCTTGAATTCGAGAACCCGCCTCCCTCGTTGAGGTAGAATACCTCTCTTCAGTCCCCCTTTCCGCTGCTTCGCCTCCCTGCTCGCCTCTCTGCTCGCCTCTCTGTCAAATGCAAGAGGGACAGGAGGCGGTAGTGTTTTTGTTTGTCTTTGATTTCAGAGATAGCCACAAAATTGGGTGCAAGCCCTTGATGTTTTGGTGTTAAGTGAGAAATAACACATTTGTCGCACTCCCACTTAAACAGGCTTCAACATCCTAGCAGTGAGGTCCCTGGATGTTTACAACGAGCCGATCCAAGTGGGTGCAGGCTCCGTGAAGCATAAAATGTAGCTCCTTTAGTTAAGACATCTCTGTATCGTGTTACTTGCCTTGCCGTTAAGGATCACCTCTCTACAGGACCTGCTGCCTTTTAGTTTGCAGCCAGACAGAAGACATCCATCTGGGTCCGGCAGACAGCATGGCCCCACCGGAGAGGACACTGGACACCTCCAAACTGCCAGGCCTATCCTAGTTAATCCTAAATGCATACACGGTTATACACACAAATAAATAGACACAACAGGATCAGTTTGTGAGCTCATCAGGAGACAATGCTGCCAGACAAAGAGAGCCCGCCGCAGTTTTACGCCTCTAACTCGCGTCTAAGTCAAATAAAAACAGGGAATCATCTTTTCATCTAGACAAAGCTGAGGATGAGGAGTGTTTTCAGTGCAGATAAGCCACATTCCACATGCAGATGGATAGGACTGGGGAAGATTAGCCCACACTGATCTGCTGAAGTGTGAATGAAGGATGAGATCATCTGGTCAAACATCTGTGTGGAGATACTCAGTTATTACCGGCCAATCGTTCTTCCTTAAACATCAAATTTTGCGTGGCTTCAACCTCTTTTGGTCGAAGCATTTTTTTTTTTTTCCGAGAGAGATGAGAAACTATCCACTTTGGTTTCTGTGAAATAACCAACAGCTTCTAGGAATATCTCGGGCTAACCACGTCAATGTCTCTGTGGTTGGACAGTTGGAACAACCAACTGGCTGAAAAATCTCCCAGAAACTGAAAGAAAATACTGATTGGATTTTCCTTTTTCCAGGCTTGATTCATTAGACACTAAATCCTGCTTTATTGTAAAATGTTTTGGAAATATTTAATTATAATTAGCCACTATTTTGGTCACTAATTTGCTGGTTGTAAAAGGAACTAAATAGACGTGAAGTTTTATTTATTTAATTGGTCTAATTTCAAAAGTACTCTTTCCTTTTGAGTTTTTTTTTTCTTTTTGCAACCACAAACTTGTTAGTGTTTAATGTGATGTTCCATTCCTGTTGGAGGCAAATTTCCACCCCAGTAGCAAGTTGTTAGCAGCCTCTCTTTTTGCAAAGATTTTTCTGTATTTAAGTTCTTCATGTATGTACATTTTAGTGGATTTTTATATTATATTAAAAAGGTTCTCATTTTCTTATCAACTGATTACTAAAATAATTAGTTGCAGCCCAGAAAATGTATAAAATTGTAATCACAAAGAACTTGATTGCAATATTTGGTTAGCATTCTGTTTTTCCAATGTTACGCATCTTTACAATATTTTATGTTGTAAAGATGCATAATCCATATGTGGCTTTTTGCAAACTTTAAGCAGGATGTTTTGTAGGTTTTTACTTTCTCTCTACAACAAATGTGTGCTTTTCTATTTTACTAGTTCAAAAGTTTGTTGTTTCACATCAAATCTCAATTACGTTTGTGGGTGCAATGCCACAAAATATTAAAATGTTCTCATGGTTTGAATACTTTTGCAGGGACGCTGCATTCAGCACGCTCTCATACCGTAGCTTATTGCTGAGTAAAAGATTCTTTTGGGGGATAAATCATATCTCTGTCACCACAAGCCACTGTAAGTAGAACAGACTTAGGGCTCAATTTTAAGGTGTTTAAGCTCCCTGGGCCTCCATGAAACGAGGGAATAGTCAAAGGATCTGAAATGTAATGGTTCCTGATGAATAACCGGATTAGCCTGGAATGGGATTTATCCCCACAACTTCCCTGGAGGACCGTGAAGAGAGTGTCTGTGAGCGTGAAACATACACTGTTTAAATATGAGTTTGTGCGTCCACTGTTTCACAGTTTAACATGCTTCATTCACAGAGTCTTTGGATAAGTGGGAGCGCCTGACTGTGGCTGATGCTCTGGAGCCAGTCCAGTTTGAGGATGGGGAGAAGATAGTGGTGCAGGGAGAGCCTGGAGATGACTTCTTCATTATTACAGAGGTAAGGATCTATCATGTCTGCCCATTATGTTGGCTAATTTCAACGCTTTGCCTAATTTCCTCTAAAGTGTAAGTGCTGACATGTAGGACCTGAGTATATGCATGTGTCATCAGTTGGGCAGAAGGGTTGACGTTCATGTCATTGAGCCAAAGCCTTGAAGACGGCTCCGCTGACATCAGAACTGATTTTAGTTTATTGCCACCAGCAGACAGATTACCTGCCCCGGCCCTCAACCACAATTCCTGTGCAAAGAGCAGGCCCCCATCACAGTGCAAGCTTTGTGGAAAAGAGGCCCCTGACATGGCTTCTCAGAGGGCCCCCTGCCTGTCATCCTAACACAGTTTTGATTAACTCCATACTTGTATAGCTTTCAGCGGGGTCAGGCCAGGAGGATTCTGACTGGAGGTCTCCTGATGGGAGGGAGACCCTGCTTCTCTTTCCTCTCCTCTTTTCAGACTTTCCTGCAGGTGATGCTCACCTCATCACATGCCAGTAATAATGTCCATGTCCGTCGAGATTTCTTCTTAGCTTTGATTAAAGTATGCAAGATTAGGTAAGGAGGAGGCAAAATGTAAGAAGGAGGGTGAATCATGTCAGACTTTATCCCATGTTTTACTGAATCAAGTTTTTTTTCTCTTCACCTGTATCCTTCCTACACAACACATCTCCAGAATGTGTTGTGTGGAGATGTACAACATCTCTTTTCATTCATTTTTTTCACTTTCATCATTGTGCCTGCCTTCAACTCCAATTCGGCCTGGGCAATGAGGCTTACAAATAAAATCTCTGACTTTTTTCATTGCAGATCCAATTTCGGATTTTAATATTTTTTCGCTTTCTTTTCTCTAAAAGTAAATGACAGAAAATGTTTTCAGAAAGTGACTCTTAACATTTCTTCTGTGAAAGTGAAATATTATCATAGAGTTGACCTGAATTCAAAGTCCAAATAAATAGAAAAACACCCAAAAAAAAAGTTTTCCTTCTCAATATGTAATCTTTTGTTTGCTTCTTGCAAATAAACAGATTTAATTACAACTAAACAGCCTTGTTTTACTAGTCAAGCAATATAAACAAAAAAATGTGTATCTTTACTGAGTAAAAAGCTAGAACACCTTTTTTACAGCTATTTTTACTCCCTTTGGCTGAAACAACTTCAGTGAGGCAGACATCCACCAGCCTCTGACGTCAGTCTGTGGAAAGTTTTCCCCACTCTTCACTTTCAGCTGTAAGATGTTTTAAAGTCACCCCACAAGTCCCTTACCTTACCTGCAAGTAGCAGATAATATTTCTAAAGGAGAGCATATTGTCACTCTGACAGGACCTCCAGATCTGTAAAATTTGCTGTAAAATTTCCAAATCTCATCTTGACACTGACCTGTATTCGCTTTTGGCTCCAGTTCAGCCATGAGAATTGGGGGGAAAAATGCTTGACAGCATAATGACTGAGAAGTGCACACTCTGTTAAATTGAATGTGTGGCAATGAAGACCAGTTTCCCTAATGACCAACACCCGGGATGCCACACATACGCACACACAACACTGAGTAAACCAGCTATTGAGGAGCAGTAAAATGAGGTTAGCAGGTTGTAATCTCACACACAATAAATTGAGCTCTTTGTGAACATTGGCCACATGTAATGTTTACAGGCTGTACTTTAGCAAACATGGTGAAACATTATATTTAGCTGCCACTGCGCTTGCAGCCATTCTTGATTTGAGCAGTGACTTTAGTATCTGTGTCACTTCCCCACCTCTCCTGGTTTTCCTCTTACTCATGTTCTTTAAAGAATGCCAGTGCCCAAATAAATGATGATTTATAAGGCAATCTTGCAGAAGACTTGTGACTGGGACAGAGATTCACTTTGCTGCAGAACAACAAGACTAAAGATATGATCTGAAGTAATATGCAAAAGTTCAGATTGAAGCAAATTCATATGTTAGGATGACCCAATCAAAATCCAGAGTGGATTGGGAACTTATTGGCATTCTGTGGCAACACTTGGGATCCTCTCCTTTAAATCTAAATGAACCTTAGCTATTTTGTGAAAGAGAATGAGCAAAATTGTCATCCTGTAGATGTTCAAAGAGAGCAGAGACATTGCAGCAAAAGTATTTTATGCACAATACTTTTTGTATTTGTATTGACAAAAAATGTTGAAAATATTTTTTTTCCTCCAACCTTACAGTTACTTTTGCTCTGTGTTGGTCTATTACTTTAAATGCCAAGAAAGTGCATTGATGTGTGTCATAATGCAAGAGTATTTGGGAAGGTTTTAGCTGAATGAGTGTTTTAAACTTCCTAACATTGTATTTCACCAGCTAGTCGTGTCTGATGCCTCCAAATTTAGCTGCAGACATCCCTCAAAGGTCAATTTGACTCTGCAGAAAATAGAAAAAGAAAAAAAAAAAAACAATCAGCTTTGCATGACTCACCGATCTGGGGGTTTGAACATGCCAAAGGAGGAAAATATGTTGTGGACTGAGGGGAATAAAAGATGGAGAAACAGTAAAAGTAGGAGCAAAGAGGGAATGCGTTTTCCGACTCAACAAACAAGTTTTAGCTTGTGCTTATCACAGATCAGTCGCTCTTATCATTAAGGACGACGACTACATTTTATACAAGATTTATTGCTGTTTCCCACCTTAAATCTTTCGGGGCCTGTACACACCCACTGTTTTTCCACCTACTTTTGCGCCCAGTAGCGTTTCGATGCTGTTTGTAACCTCATGTCTCATGGCAGCCCAACTTTCCCAGAGCGCCGTGGACTGGGCTGGAATGCGTGTTGCTGACTTTCACACGGGGTCAGGAGACCCAGCCTCCCGGGAGGGGAGACGAGAGAGAGCGAGGGAGACAGACAGAGGCAAAAAGGGATGAGTAAAAGGAGGGCAGGACGTGTGGGCAGACCGCAAAATAAAGGAGGATTTTGAAAGTGTGACTAATTGCAAGAAAAGCTCCCTACAATCTCACCATATTTTCCCTTATTCTATGTCTTCTCATGTGCACATATGGGTGTTATTGCTATTTTTACGACTGCAATGCCTTTTCTCATACGTCCCTTGTGTCCTAATCTGTCTCCTCTCACTATTATTTGTGAATCAGCGAAAGAAAAAAAACAAACACCTTTAAACACTCACTGCTTTAAAAGAAGAAGCTTATAGAGACATCATGTTTTTGAGGCCTGATTGGAAGATTGAGGCTTTAATGAAAGAGGACATGTTTACATTTTATTCTCACGCTGTACAAACATGTCCTCACAGGCTCCAGGGACCACGAGGTGTCGAATCTCAACTTCCTTAACATCAACCACTTCTGCTACATTTTTCTGCCCTTCTTCTTCTTTATCCTCTTCCGTGGTCATAAATGGAAGGCTTTTCATTTTTGAATACAAATAAAGTAATCCTTATGCAAGGTAAGGCCATGGCAGCATTGTGCTGGGGTAATGGCTGAGTTTATCAGAGATAGGGAAAAGGGTTGGAGTTGATGGGAAGACAGACGGAACTACTTTCATGGCAATCCCGAAAGAAAACTTGTAGGAGGTGGTGGTGATGTGACAAAATGTGGAAAAGTTAATAAGGTGTGAATACTTTTCCCTGGACTTATATACTTTTGTGCCTTATATAATGTATGCTGCCATGTGATTTCACATGGTTAAATTATTTATTATTAACAATATCAAAATAATGAGTTGGCTGCAAATATTTGCTTTGATGTAAAAGTGTAAAGGAGCTTTACATGTTTAAAGTGTTGCTCAACTGGAAGTTGATTCTGAGTCTCGAGTCTTTTCCATCCTCCTTATGATGAACTCTGACCATCCTTCTAACAATACCTCCCCCCCACAGCATGATGCTGCCACTACTGTGTTTCAGTGTGAAAATGATGTTTCCTCCCACACACAGTGTTTTGAAATCATGTGAAGCCTACTTCATGTTGATTCGTCACATAAAATCCCCGAAAATATACTGACGTTTGTGGTTATAATGTAATTGGATGTGACAGTATTTAAGGTTCTATATTTTTATTTCCAAATATGAAGTTAGTTCAGTAAAAAAAATATATATATATGACTTTCTTATAAGTGTCAGTATGTAAATAACACAGAGGTTGTAAAGGTAAGACATCATGAAGTCATCTTCTCTGCTCATATATTTGCCCTCGTCTCCCCCAGTCATCGTTCTAAACAGTATTTCATAAGCTGTCTCACATTTGTCTTTTGACCTCCCACAAGAGTAATCACACTGACGGGATTTAAAGGGTCCCTGTGGGTCACACAGAACAAAGACCCTCTGTGGATTTCCAACAGCGTATATCATCTGCTGTTCGTCTGTATTCCAAACCCGTTTCCTGACGTGCGGTTCAGCTGATGCCTGATTTAAGTGAAGGAAGATCAATGAAGTTCATAAAGCAGATCATTTTTATTTGAGGTTTTCAAATCGAAAGGTGCGTCGAAGGAAAGTAAAAATTACCAGGTCGTAACGGAGTAAAGCTATTTTTAGAATTGCTTTAGCGTAGCCCTCAGACGTGGATGGAAGAGAGCAGATTTAGTTAGAAATGGTTCTGCTTGCAGTCTGTGAGCTATGTGTGTTTGAATGAGAAGGTGCAGACACTCCTGGTGCTGGGTGGCCCCATGAACAGGCTATTCCGGATATCACCTTTCTCCATCTCGGCCTGTGCCCCTGTCTGTGTTTCTCTGAGCGCGTTGGCGTTCCAATGCTTCTGCTACAAGCAAGCTGTTACATTTTGACTTGTCATCCACAGTTGATTCATTACCTTCCGCCTGTGGCGTATTTATTTAAGTGCTGATGCATGTGAATATGTATTTCTGTGCACGAGCTGTTACAAAGGACCCGCTGAGGGACAGACGGCCGCTTGTCTCTTATTTAATTGGAGTGAACTCTTTATTCACGTGTTTCCCTGTTATTTTCTGTTTGTTTTTCTTTATGCCTGACCTCTCCTGCCGTCTTTTGTTGTCGGCAGTCTGGAGAGGCCTTTGTTAGGCAGGCGAAGCTCTTAAATGTTTATAAAAGAAATATCTGTGGAGCAGAGCACTCCCCCTGAGGTGGTACAGTATGAGATGGTTATCGAGACCACACTGGATGAGGCCTGTTCATGAACAACTGTTGCTGCAGCGCTGCACTGTCTCACTCTCTTTGTTTGGACATGAATGGAAAGGAGAGTATTACAGTGGTTGTAAACACAGGAGAGCTACCTTCCAGTTTTTCATTTCTCCTTCAGCTTGAAAAAGATCCAACTGCAATCCTACAAATGCAGTTTATAAGTTACAAAAATAGTGCTTGAATGGGCTAAAAATGTGAAGGAACAATAATGAGGAGTTGAATTTGAAAGAGATTCACCATTTATTGGGATTTAAAATTGTTTTCTCATCAGCAACTGTGAAGTAATCTTAGGGCACATCAGTGGCGCAGGGGAAAAGCACGACCCATGTATGGAGGCCTTGGTCCTCGACGTGGAAGTTGCGAGTTCAAATCCTGGTCCGACCTTTGCCGCATGTCTTCCCCCTCTCTCATAATCCACATTTCGGTCTAACAACAGCTAAATAAAGGCCAATAAACCTTTAAAAAACTATGAAGAACAACCAGGTGTTAACAAGGAAAAAAGAAATGAGTATATTTATATATAGCGCATCACCTGCTTGCCTAAGATGATAATGTGACAAAATTTCTAAATCCAGGTAGATTTTCTTCCAGGATTTAACTCCATTCATCTTCCCCTCAGCGTTCCCCTCGGTATTCTAAATGAAAACCTCCCCACAACATGATGCTGCCCCCTACATTGATGTGAAGCGTTAATTTTTCTCCATATCCAGTGTTTTTAGAATTTAAGCAAAACAGTTTAAGTCGCATCTTCCATTTTCCCGTAAAGGCCAAATTTGTTGAGTTCAGGACTTGTGTTTGTCGTGTCAACAGATTTTCCCACCAGAGTTCCTCCAGGCATCATGGCTGCTCTTTTAACACTCTCCTTTTCCTGGCTGATTTGATTAGTTATCGAATAAATCACATTTTATCACATTCAAGTCGTCTGAATAAAGTGCCATATGAAGACGGTGCTGCTGCACAAAAGCATAAATGACTCTCCTATCTATGGTCTCTCAGACTGTCGCTGAAACTGTTGCAACGTGTTGCATTGTCAACGTGGTAACTGCGCAGTACAACTTTTCCAGCACTGATTTGAAAAGGGGATTTGCAAATTACTCCTTGCTTGAAATACTCTGCACAGCTCATTTTTCGCGTAAACTCACAGAGTCACACACATGCTCAGGTTGAAATACAGTCTCACCTTTGTCTGCCAGCAGTGAGTAGTTGGCAGTTTGAGGGGGGTTCTCATTAAGCCTCATTATATTCATATTTAGCATTATTAGCCTGGCCAGCGACCAGGAGCACAGAAAGCAAAAAGGGATTAGAAACGTTTGAGGGATTGCTGGAACAATCAACTCTGTCTTCTAAAGCAGTCAAAGACAAGCCGGGAAGTTCCCTTCCTGACTTTTCTTTTCTTTTCTTTTTTCTTACCTGCCATCAATTACAGCAGCTCTTTAAACGTCGCATGTTTCAAGATTACCGCTGAATATGCTTGCAAAGAATGCATCGAGTGCAGCTTCGATGCAGTCAAAGCTGCACTCGATGCTGACGTGTGTCTGGGAGATTGTGGAAAAACATACATTTTCAGGCATGTAGTTTGAAGTTTGCTAACAGCTGCAGGACTAATCCTTTGTTGGCCAAAATAAAGCCAAATAATTTCCCCTTTCCTTTGCTTGTTAGATGAATCACACACTCAAGCTTCCCACAACAACAAAAATGCCTGATGAATGTATGCATCGCCTGGAGTTGTTACACTCTAAAGTGCTTTTTGTGATTCAGAGTTTTCTAATATTAACTCAGAATTTGTGTGTGTACGTGCGTATGCATGTGTGTGCAGTGTTTTGGGGGTCATTTAAGGACTTAAAGCTCCTCTTTGTTGGACAATACAGCAGTTTCCAGTTCATGGATTAATTCTGATTTAGAGGATTTTATGATGGAGACAGTGATGACTCACTTCATCCCCAAGTGGGCTTAGATGTTTGTGTTTGTTATTCAGTGGAAGGATCAGGGCAGAAATAATGGATTTTTCTCTCCGTCCTGTCTTGGACGTTCCTGTCCGTGTGCGTCCCACTCAACAGGTGTTCGTCCCGCAGCGTAGACGACTAAATCTAGTGCACCTGTGTTCTTGTGAAGCAGAGGAACTTTCTGCTCAGCCTAATTCTCCTAATGATTTTCAGTCTCCTATCCACTTTTTCCACAGTTTTGTGTTTCTTTTACATAGCTGAGGACCTTTCTGTTTCTGTGTGTGCAGGGAATAGCCTCTGTTCTGCAGCGCCGATCTGACAATGAGGAGTATGTCGAGGTCGGACGCCTTGGACCCTCAGACTACTTTGGTGAGGGTTGATTACTTTTTCATAATTAGAGCTTTTTTAGAAATGCACCAATCTGAGCATTTTTACTGATATCTAGGCCTATGATGAGAACCAATCTGCATTACTCCGAATGGAATTAGTTTATAAAATAAATTAACTTTTTAGTGATGTTTTTATTTACTGAAATGCATCTGTCTCTGATTTTGGCCTTCTACTCCTGTTGCATCCAGGTGAGATCGCCCTGCTGCTGAACCGTCCCCGGGCAGCCACCGTCGTCGCCCGCGGACCCCTGAAGTGCGTGAAGCTGGACCGGCCCCGCTTCGAGCGCGTGCTGGGGCCGTGCTCCGAGATCCTCAAGAGGAACATCCAGAGATACAACAGCTTCATCTCCCTCACCGTGTGAGAACTCAGCGCCTCCACCTCCACTCCACCAGCACGGGTGTGCACCATCATCAGCAGCATCAGAGGTTAAGCACCAGGGTTGGGAACCAGAGGAAGTGTTGGGACACAGGGTGAACAGCAATTTTAAATACAAAATGACACAAAAAGCTTGTTTCCTACCTTTACTTCTTTCGATTTGAGTTCATTTTGTTTTTTGATCTTGTGCACTTTGACTCAATCTACTTGTCATGTAGCTGTAAAAATCAGAAGAGGACAGAAACCATTTAAATCATGATCTAATGTATATGAGTCGCTTTACGATGCACGGGGACTTGCATAAAAATGGTGTTTGCACTTTGATGTATTTTACGGAGCATGCGGACACATTCAGGAATCATGGAGGAAGTGAAGTCATGTTTACGCACAGCGTCAGGAAGTGGGTACACATTTCTTTGCTTGCTGGATGTTGTTGCTTTTTGATGCCTTTTTATTTTATATTTTTTTTATTTTACCTCTGCTTGTGCGTTGCATCTTTTCTCGATCAAAACAAACACGCACTACACAGATCGTTGTTCCATGAAATGTAACTGTAGTTAGAGCGGTATGAAGAAAACTTTTGTCGGCTGTTTTAATATTTTCGTTGCATCGAAGGAAGAACTTTGTTATCCTTATCAGGTTGAAGATTGTTAGATGTAGCTGGAGGTTTACTTTGTAGATTATTTCATTGCTAACATACACAACAGTAGAAACCAATTAAATATGTGTTAAAATGTCTGTGCATCCAAAGAGTGATGCAGCTCTTTGTTGCACTGATTTTCCTAACTCTAGGTATGGATAATTACTGTCAGACTCTGCAGTGTAGGAACATATCTTTTTTGTACTTTATCTGTTTTGCCCGTTCAATTTTTTTCAGTTGGTGATTTCTTGGTCACTGGGCCTGTTTTAAACCATGCAACCACTTTGCAGAGCTTCGATCTGAATTTTACCTCCCACATAATCCCCTCAGATAAACTTGGATCATCCATCCATCCATCCTTGTCACACTTCCAAGTGTTGTAATCTTTTTAATTATTACTCTCACTGCAGATGTGGGCAAGTCAAGGCAAGAAGCTATTAACTTGTAGCCATTTCCTGAATTAGGAAGATCAACACACATCATACAGGCACACACAGAGTGATTCCGAAATGGATTTTGACCTTGTCAGACAGTGTGAACTTGATTATATAATAGGTCGTTGGTAACACTGCCATTATGGCATAAGGCAGGGCTGCTGCAAATGCAGAATTATTGGAGAAATGGAAAGTTTTGGATGGGAAAACAGAGTTGGATTCTGGACAGGAGGGGAGAACGAAGAAAAGAAGACATTGTGGAGCCACCTATTATTAAAGTAATAAGCTTTTATAAATTTCCCCTTAAAATTTAAAACACTGACTAATATTTTTCGTAAGTCAGCTTTGCCCTTTGAAAACCCAGCTTCTTTTCAATGATATTCATGTATTTTTGATTTTGAAGTGTGGCTGAGAGAAATATGCTCTGTTTCTTATTATATTTATTCCCCAGAGACTATCCCTGCACAGCAAGAACCTGGCTTCTGAGTCACATCATATTTATTCCCAGTGATACAAGATTACTGAGTTACTCATCAAAACTTTAGAGACATTCTTGTTATCTTATGATATGCAAAAAAAATAATCAAACTTTTGGATACTTAAAACATACTTTTTCTCCCCCTTAAATAAATGTACTGAAGTTTTTCTTCTAAATTTTCAGTGTGACATTCACTTCTAAAATAAGTTTTTTTAAAGAATTTTCTAACTGTTTTTTGGGGAAAAACACATTTATTAAAACTTTTACTTCAATGGTCTGAGCAATGTTAAACTGGAAGCTTGTCTTGGTCAATATATATACTAATATATGTATGTATATATATATATATATATATATATATATATATATATATATATATATATATATATATATATATATATATATATATATTAGTTGCTGAAGCCTGAAGGTGTCAGTTCTGTGAAGAGAGTAATAGCATCTTCTCAGTTTGATATGATTTCCATTTTCCCCCTTCATGAGAAACTGCAGCCCAGCATTACCATTGATCTACATCACACTTTTGACACACAGACAGTACTTGTTTTTAGCTCTTCTATCAGGTTAGTTGAAAATTAACAAAAATATGTAGGGATTCTAACGTTTCTGTGAGCTGTTGTTCTCCAAAGGTTCAGTCGTGTCATCTCCACGCGACTGAACCTGAAAGTCTTACACCGTCTCAGGACTGAATAAAGAAATCTGCTTGTTTTTGAGGTGATTTTGTTTGATGTTTTCATACTTTTGCACCACTTTCAAGTTTAAAACGTTGGGTCAGCATCGTAGTCTGATTCAGATGTTTTGAAATGTTCTTAATAAGAGAAAGTTGAGAAAACTAAGAACTTGTGTTGTTTTCCTTTGATCCACAGCTCTGCCAGCGTTGCACAATGACCTGATGTAAAAATGGGAGCTTAAGAAAAAGAGTCTTTCTGTATTTCTCTTCTGTGTATCTTTTTTTTTTTTCAACTATCAAACCATCTTGAGCAAATAAAGATAAGCTTCAGAAAATCTTTTGATTTGACGTTATTTTCTTCTTGGTCTTTTTGGTCCCTGGAGGAGTGTGACTTTTCCTCACATTCTTTCCTCCCGTTTATCCTGGCTTTTGGCACCTTCTCCTCCTCCCCTGACTGGACTTAGTTCATACTCTTTTCTTTACCTCACCTCATATTCCTGACTGCACATAACCTCTGTTAGCTGTTGTATCTCTGATCACTTTCCTTCTCTCTTCTGCTTACCTCCTCAGCCATGTCTCATATTTCTTCCTACGGGCTTCTCCCTCTTTTCTTCCACCTTCCTCTCTTGTCTTTTGTCTGCTCTCTATCTTTCTCCTTCTCACGTTAAGCCAAGTGTCAGTCATCCGTCATAGCGGGACTGTCAGAAAAGCTCGGAGCTCCTCCCAGGCGGTTTACACCACCGTGGACTAAAGCCTCTGCAGCTTTGACACATTCCTCTTCATCTTAATGTCCACTAAATCAACTGAGGAATGTGCCCCCAACTCGCTGACATTGAGTTTAATACTCCCCTTGCCACACAGGCACAACTTCTTTGCTTTTGCAATGTATGCTAACAGACCTTTACAAGTTTGGGTTTTTCCTCAGGTTGGTGTCAAACTATTGGTTCAACATTTTCTGACTGCAATTTTGGTCCTAAAGTGTCTTGCCCAAGGACAAAATGACTGGGAAAGAAATAGTTGGCATTCAAACCAGCAACCTAGTAGTTACAAAAACCTCTGCTATTTCCTGAGCTACTCTCACCTCTGAAGAAGAAAGTCCAGTCACAGGCTTTTGACCTTGAGCTCAAGCACATTAAGGGTTCACAGCTGGACACTTACCCAAAATCCAACAGCGAATTCATCTCTAACTGGCTCACAAAAGCCAAATTAAAGGTATTAATGGGGCCTAGTCAAAGTGCAGACTTAAATCTGACTGAGATGCTGTGGTATTGAAAACTTTACAATGTGTCTTCATTAAAACAATCCTGCTCATAAGAGTGGATCCGTTTCCGTTAAGCAAAGCTGTTCATTAGGCTTGAAGGGGATTCACACAGGGAAGCGTAGGTTTGGATAGATTTCTTCTGTCCATTTTCAGTTAACAGAAATAATAATTTAAAAGTACATGTTGTCTAGTTGTCTGGAAGATCTTTTTCACAGCATTCTGCATGACTGCCTGGAAGACAATAAATGAGATTGTTGATGGGTTAAAACTTGACTAAAGTTATTGCGAGGAAATGGAAAGGATGAATTTAGCTACCAGGTATTTTAGGCTCTTTGGTTGACCTCAGGACAGGTGCAAACCAACCAATTTACAGCCCAGCCCATTCATTTTGATTCAAAGTTCTGGAAATAGCATGAAACTGAACCTTATAAGTGCCAGTATTATTCAAGCATTTACCGAAGAATGCAGCATTTGTATGACAGGGTACGCCTAAATTAACAAAAGAGGAACTGGTCACCTAAGCCTTCCCTTTTGTATTTGAGTGCATGTGAGTGTGTGTGTGTGCGTGTTTGCATGCGTGTGTGTGTTCAGAGTACCAGATTAGACACGGCCTAATCCTGGGTGGGCTAGCTAAGGACAAATCTTGGCACTGTCACATGTGCAGTGTTATGAAGCCCTGACACGATGAAACAGAGCCAGTATAGGAGTAAACACAAACACACACTTTCAGTCTGTGCTGCTTTTATATTAGATCACTTGGTCCTGCTGCAGAGGTCCTCGATGACACGCAACTCTCCATGACTTTGTTGGAGTACATAAAACACGAATAGCAGCTCTAGAATCTGTAAGACAACCTCAGTGCAAAGTTGTTTGCGAAAGATGGTTTCCTCTTCTCTTTTTTTTCTGCTTTCTTTTCACAAATAAAAATCAAAAAAGTGGGAAGTGTGTTTGTGTTCAGCTTTTCTGAGGCAAATCTTTAACAACCCTGAGCTGCTACAGCTACCAGCTTCTCAATTGGATTTACGTCTGGACTTTGAGTAGTCAGTTTTGAGACCTTAATACATCTTTAAGTCATTTTTGAACCTCTGATTGCATGTTGAGTAGCAGAAGGTCAATATCCAGCCCACCTCAAGTCTCCCACTGGAGAATGTTGGGTATAATGCAGTGCAGAGGGCTGAAAATAAAAATGTACTAAATTTTCTGATTGTCATTTGTGAAAATGTGAAAAACATGCATTACTTTTTGTTTGTCTATCACATAAATAAAGTCACCAAAACAAATTGAAGTTTGGTAAACTTTTAAGATACGTTTATGATGCCAAGTACTGATGGTCTTGGTATCTACTATTACTTAAACCTTTCCCACCTCTTATGGCGTTCCATAGTCACATCCACAGACGAGTAAGTCTGCTGACTGCTTGTCTCCGAAACACTGGACTTAAGGAAGAGGACAGATTTAGAGGAGGCAATGAGCAATCAAGAGGCAGAAGTGGAAGATCACACAAGCTTCACTCTGGGACCCATAATAATGGCTTTCTAGTTTTTTCTGAACTCCTCTGAGAGTAACTCACATAAGCACTTTAGAGTTTATTCCGATGTGGAAACATTTTCCCCACTCATTTACAGCGTGGCTTCTCATGCACGTCCCTTCAAATTCCAAGTTTTATGTAACGAGTGCCTAAAATTTACAAGATTAACCATCCGGTAGGAATTGAGTGTTTTTTGTGCATTTTGTTTTTTGTATAATCCCACACTCTTTTTATGAGAAGATATTTAAACCTGGCACAGTGCCATGGGGTGTGTTAGCATCATCACCTCCCCCCATGTCTTTTTCTTGACTCCGTCTTTTGTTTTCTGCCCTTTTCGCTTGCTCTCCGTGTTCCCACAGATGCCACCTCTCCTCCGTCCCCCCCTCCTCTCCACCAGAGGGATTCAGGCTAATTAAAAATGCTTGGTGATCAGCATTGCTCTGCCGCTTTCCGTTTCAACCCCAACCACCTGCACTAATGATCGACTCTGATACTCAGCTGTCAGGATATATTGGGTGTGGCGACCTGTTGGCTTCAGAGCCGGGTTTAGCCGGTTTAGTTGAAAAATCTCTGTCCAGCGGCGTCCTCTTCCTCTGCCGGGTCCCCAGTTCTAATTCTCAGCTCTAATCGTGACCTTCTCAGGTCAAAGGCCACCACCAAGGCTTGTCACAGGTGGTTGAACAACAGTGAGGTTGATAGGATTGAGACTTTAAGGATGAGCGAAGCAATGTCAAGAGGAGAAAAACTCCAAACTGAGTTAAGAAAAAATTTCTCTACAGCAAAAACATAGTTATTTAGTTTTGTCAGTATGTCTGTAGAAATAATCTAAAAATATTCAATAAACCTCAACATTGTTCAAAAACTTCCCATAAAAGGTTCCATTCAAAAATCCTGCTGCAGCGTCATCAGTTCAGAAGTTAAAATAGTTTATATTTTTTATTTAAATTTTTATTTTCTCATTGAGCTTATAACTTCCATTTTTCTGTTGCATTGTTTTTAAATATTCTTGTGTATAGTTAAAAATGTCCCTGTCTATTTTACACTGCATATTCAAAGAAGCAACATTATTAAACATGGCAATAGATGGATTATCAAGGAAATTAAGAAAAACTTGTAAAGTCTCATAACCTAGAACTATATCTAGCACAAACAATTCTTTAAAAACGTTCAACCTATATGCGAAAACCCCATGTGTGGTGGAAAATTAACACTAAATGCTCCTCATGGTTAAACATGGTGATGGCAGCATCATAATGTGGGGATGTTGTTCAGCAGGATCTTTGGTCAAAGTCTGTGATGTGATGGATTGATCTAAATCAATACAATATGATGCTGGAAGAAAACCTGGAACCTAAATGGTCCTAAAATGCAGTCAGAGTTACAACTGAATGGTTATGTTTAAAATTAAGGGAGCTCAATGACTCCGTAAAGGATCACATCTGCCCATTTACTGAAATTCTGGGCATTTTTGGTTTTAGACATCTGTGTCACTCAGCCTGTTTCTAAATTGCTTGAAGAAATACTTCAAATTTTAGTGACGCAGCCTTAAAGGTGTTTCTCTGCCTCTGGTCAATGTAACCAAGCAATTGCAGCTGGGAATCAGATACAGGGAGTTATTTTTCCCCCACTTCCTGTTAGCAAACTCACCCCACTGAGGCACATAAAAGAAATTAAAGAATAGAAACAGAGAAAAAAAAAAGACAAAAAGAGAAAGCTACAAAAAAAGAGAAGTGGATACGATAGCATCTGTTTGTTATTCTGCTTTTCTTTCCCAAGCTTGTTATCGTTCCTCATTTCCTGCTGGACGACAAGTAAATAATTCACATGTATACATGTACCAACACTGAGGCC